CCAAAATTTGGGGAATTTTTCTATCAAGTCAACCAGCAAAGTGTTCTTTGGTAGGAGTGATAGAAAGCAGCTTCTCTGATGGCCATCGCCATCAGAAGGTCAGCCTCTAAGCTACGTGATCCATAGGAATAAACGTAGATGGCTTCCCAGCCTTTTCCAGTATCCCAATGGAACCAAATTAGGGTGCCATATGCATACCACCTACTTGTTTAATCCTTGGACTGTCTGGAGTGAATCTATAAGCTTTCTGAACAATGAACATTACAGTATGGAGAGAGAGAGGTACGGTGGTCCAAATGCTGGATTTGGGGTCAAATCTAATCTCTGCCCTCTGTGACCCTGGGCAATTCACTTAACCTCTATAAGTTACAGAGTAGATGCTGAGTTGTATCAGTAGAGGGATTTTTCTGACCTAGGAATTCTCTATACTAACAAAATCAACAGGATTTTTTTTTTTAGATAAATTAATCTGTCTCAAAGAGGAAATGCCCTTCCTTCTCAGCACTTCATACAGTGCCTGGCACATAGTAAGTGCTTAACAAAGTGCTTGTTGACTAATTGATTTTTGTTGGAGAGGTGGGGAAATATGGAGGTGGGATGGTGCATACTCTGCCAGATGCTACATCGGTTGGTTTTATTTAAGGCTCTTTCTTTGCAGCAAGTGAAGGCTCAGTTCCAGGGAGGTGTGTCAAGGGGTGGGGAGATGGCTATATTGGGAAATAACTGTGATCTAAAAGTAAAAGACATTAGTAAAACTAAAAAATAACATTTTAAGAAATCTACCTCAAGCAATGTGCTGCAGCTGCAAACCTCATTCATGTTTAGTATATAAGAGGAACAGCAGGCATGATTGCTGCCCCAAGTCATCTGACCGCATGGCAGCCTGAGCAGTTTTAAGCACTGGAGTCTAGAAAGGGGTTCAAATAATCTCACGAGATCTGCAGGTTTTTCCCCAAGTTCCACTCACTTGGGGCATCAGCTACTGACAGATATTCGGGTACACCACATGATGATATAAAGTATCTGCCCTAACACCAGTAGCCTTTCAAGGACGCTTATCTGGCTCAAGGCCCAAAGCCAAGATGCCTCTGTTCTTTCCACAAGCCACAGGGGACTTGGCCTGGCAAGACCAGTTGTACAGAATTCTACCAGATTTGAAAGTGACGACAACAAGTACAACAAATATAGGTACCTTTTTATTGCTAGCCTTGATGAATAGTTGTTTTTTCTTTCCCTCATTTAATAAAAGACAGTTTATACATACACAACATTTTTTTTAATTATAAAACCCTTTATATAGCTTATCTCTTTTGATCCTGACAACAACCCTATGTCACAGACATTGAAAATGGTATAATCCCCATTTTTCATAATAATAATAATAATAAAGAATAATAGGAATAAGGACTGGACCTGTGATATAGTTACTATAGAAAATCCCGTGTGAGGAAATTCCCTCTATGTGTCACAGACATTGCAAATGGTGTGATCACCATTTTACATAATACTAATTAATAATAATAATAATAATAATAATAATAGGAATAAGGACTGGACTTGGGATTTCCCAGGTGAGGAATTTCCCTCTACCAATGCATTTTGGTATCTCCTCTGAACTTCATAGTCTTAGAAAGTTGCCTAGAGCACTGAAATGTTACATGATGTGCTCATGGCCACATGGCCAATATGTGTCAGTGGTAGTGCTTTTACCCCTTGGGGCCAGCTCCATGCCCTATACCATGCTGACTCTATTAATGTTAATATTTGCGGTAATAGCAATAATTAATTTATGCAATAATTAGCACTTGTAATAACAGTAATAGTTAATATGTGCAATAAATGACAATACTCAATATTTTCAATAATAGCAATAATTAATATTTATAATAATAGTAATAGTTAATGTGCAATAATAATAGCAGTAATTGCTCACATTTATATGGCACTTGAAGATTTATAAATTATTTTATAAATATTATCTCATTTTGAACTCTCAAAAACCCTTTGTTAGGGTTGTGATAGTTACTATTATTATACCCATTTGAACAGATGAGGAGCTAAGGTGTAGAGGTGCTAATAATTTGCTCAAGGTCTCACGCAAATAATAAGCATCTGAGGTTGGGTTTGAGTAGCATCTTCCTGACTCTAAGCCCAAAACTCTAGCCGCTATGCTATGCCATATCCAAGGCATTATAACTAGATGGTGTCAGAAGTGGAACTCAAGCCTACATCTTTGGATTCCAAGACCAGAACTCTTCCTGCTGTGCCATTAGAATCACCAGATGTAAGTCAATACATGGCTGATGCCCTTCAGAAAGCACCAAATATTCTCCCCACATCCATCACTGAGGAATAATCAAGCCAAAAATAAAAGCCGAGTTGTCTATCTGGATCAAATTAAATACATGTCTATTACTTGAAGCTTTTAACCTCCAGCAAAACACAAACAGCCCATTTAAGCCCTGACTTTTGCTAGCAAATGCATCATATTGAGGAATTAGCTAATGGAAACTAACGGAGAATCTAGAGAGAGGAGAGGCCCAGTTACAGTGTGAGCCCAAGACAGAACATCTTCCATGACAAAGGAAATCCTGTTCAAGGGGCGTCCATGCAGACAGAGGCAAGATTTTTCACTGGGTTTTGCCCTCAGAGTTTCAAAGTGTTTGCTTTAGAAAAATGTTGACCCCAGCCCGTAGTTCCTATTGGCCCTGAGTGTATTTTTTTTTTATTTTTGGGTACAGGCACACATTAAAAAACACTTTTTGTAGGATTGATTAAAGTCAGAGCTTTCAAAGGCACCATTCACGGATGCAGACAGAACATTTCTCATTCAGATTGTTTGTGTTCCAAACTGCCCAAGAACCAGTTTACAGGCAGGATTCTGACATCAAACCAGCATAGTAACATTAGGAAACCACAGCATCAGAGGGTGGGGAGATGGTGCATCAACATTCTATACTAAGCTTGAAAGGTCATGTGGCCAGTCAGGTTTTTTTCCTCAGGAATGGGGCAGAAGAGGTCAACGGCAGGATTAAATGAGGTCTCCAAAAGTTGACATGGGACCTGCAGGCATACAGGGAAGTCTGCCAGATGCTGCAGATCATCACTCAGTGTGCACAGAAGGTCTAGCCACAAAAACACAGCTTCTCTTAGTTAACGGGGCTCACCAGCTCCTCCCTGGAAGCCCTCCCTTCCTAGAAAACAGGAGGCCCCGGAGCCACACTCTCAGTGACACATTTAGGTAGATAAGTCTAGAACTAGTTACCATTTAACCTGCCAATTAACCTGAGAAGCTCTGAATAGCCACCATTATCTCCTAATCCCCAGAGACATACACAGGTGAGTAGGGTACCCATCAGAGAATCAGGGATCTTTTGCTCTTTTGTGGTCACAGAAGATAAGACCTGCCTCTTCTGTATCAGCGTTGGAAGCACTAACTCAAAGGGAAACACATATGGACACATACACACACATTGAAGGTTGGGCTGGCTCCAAAATCAGCCCAAATGTTTCAGATGTTAGCAAAGCTGGGTCCTATACATAGTCCAATATGTATTCACCCAGAAAGACATTGCTCTTCAAAGACCCTCTAGAAAAAGTAAGAAGGGGTTAATGGGAATAACCAGCACTGACGGATTCCTTATGTTGATTGAGATAATGGCGGCCTTATTGTTGATAAGGGCAGGGCCTGATCTGTGAGCGTGGCTACCATTACAATTTCAGGGATGGCCATTTTTAACTTTCCTTGGCTGCAAATAAGCCAGAGGCCCCAGGCTCCTCTACTGATGCAGTCAGGCAGCAGGTGTGAAAGTTCCAAGTCACTGATACTTTGGAAAGAGGCCTCAGTGGAGAGAAGTCGGAGGCAGTGAACTTTTCAGAGAAGGGTCACTCACAAGATTTCCCTGTCTTATGTGAGTTCTCTGAAAAGCAACACAGCTGTGAAGGTGAAGTCAATGACATTCCAAGCATATTGCGGCATATTTCCACTCATGCATTCTGTGTTTCAGCCAAACTAGTCTTTTAGCCATTCCCTTTCTATACCTCATCTTTACAACTTTGCACAGTATATCCCCCATGCTTGGAATGCATTCCCACCAGAGGGACGATCACACCTCCTCTGTCCCCATTCACCATTCCATCAGAGAAGCTGGACCAGTAACCAACTTCAAAGAAAGGCAGCTTCAGGGAGGGTGACATCTTTAGGATTCTACAAGGGCCCTGACCTTCATGGCCCAGCAGGGAGCTATAGATTTCAGTGGAACTTCATGAGAACTAAAGGAAAGGAGAAAAGAAGTCCACCTACATGTTCTCCAAGTCCATGCCCACTTTCCTCTGGATCTCATATGTACATGTGGAGGAGTGGGTCTCAGACTTTTGGAGGGAATGTATTATACCCATAGTTCTTATTATACCATCTCAGTAAGTGCCCCCCCAAAAAAGCTAATTAATTCTGGCTGGCTAAAAGATATCAACTGGATAATCAATGGAGAGTATACTGGTAGGAAGGAGCTCATGAGGAGGAGTATGAGAAAACACCCCACCCCTCAGGGTTACCCCTAGCACTCCAAGGGAAGAAGTATTTAGCTTCCCTCTGGGGTGCTTACCTGCCAAAGTAAGTGGGATCTAAGAAATAGCATATATACATATACACATACACAGACATAGACATAGACACACATACATACACACACACATATATATACACATACACATAGACACATGCATATACATACACATATACATACATACATATACATACACACACATACACATATACCTATACATATGCATGTTTTTTATTTGCTTATCCACATTCATATTACCCCTCTCCCCAACAGAAGGTAACCCCCTTGAAGGCAGGAGATTGTTTTCCTATTGTCTAGCACAATGTACCACTGACATATCAGGGACTTTTTTTTAAGCTTGTCAAATGAATGAGTTTCCTCCAAGACAGCAACATAGAACTTGTGATGTGGATCTCAAGGTGAGAAGGAACGTACCATTACTGCTGTTATCATCCACCAGAATGATCTCCTTGAGCAGGTGAGGAGGAGTTCGGTCAATAGCAGAGTGAATGGATCTCAAAATCACGGAGAGAGCCTCATTAACAAAGATAAAAACGATGCTGACCTCCGGGAGGCTATCAGGAAAGGAGAGATTCCGGCACCTGGAAACAGAAAACAGGTGGAGACTTAGTTCTCCACCAGCCAACCCAGCCAACTGTATCCTTCACCCCTGATACCCTGCAAAAGAAGCACTATGTAAATACTAGAAACACCATCACTGCTCACCGTGCCAGATACATCTGATGATGCTGTCGGCCCTCCAAGCTGGACCACCAGAAGCCATGCCTAGGCAGAGCAAGAGCTAAGACGACCAGCTCTTCACTCCCCAGTGCCATGCAGACTGTACTTCCCCCCAAATATTTTCCTTTCTGACACAGTACACATCTCCATACTCTTTCCATACCTTGCTCTGACAACTGTGATCAATCAACACTAATACTGCCTCCGGAAAGGACATATCAATGGACTGCCCTATTGTTCTACTTGTCATTTCTGTGAGTCCCCAAAACAAAATACTCTTCCTTGGCCATCACTCCCTGATATGTGTCTCTTCTTATTAGAATGTCAGCTCCTTGGGTTTATGAGATAACATTTGGAAAAAGCACTTAGCATGGTGTCTGGCACATAGTAGGTGATATATTCTCTTTCTTTCTTTGAAGGCAAGGGCTAGCCCACTTTTGCATTTATATCCCTAAGCACCTATCACAGCGCTTGACCTATAGGAAATAACTAAAACTGCTTTTTCATTCATTCATTCATTCATTCATTCATTCATTCATTCATTCATTCATCATCTTTCAGGACCACGTGACCCTCTGCTCTTAGTTAGAAAGTCCTAGCTCAGAATTGAAACCAATTCACAGCCTATTAAAGTCAGCTAAGTCAACAACTTGTATCTTCAAACAGGTTTCTTGCAGTGAATCCTTCCAACACTAATAGGACATCTCCAGTGAAAACCACTGGTTTCTACAAAATGGTAACCAAGCCCCATGGGGATTCGGGAAGGGCCTTCAGAGTACAGCATCAAAAACTACTGATGTAAAGCAATCAGCCTCTGAGACCCATCCAAATCCTGGACAGTTTCCACTTACCATCATCTATGGCAGAGTTGTCAAACACAAGGCCTATGTAGCCCACAACCCTCCCTAGTTTGGCCTGAATCAAATTAAAATGTAATTGTGGAATATTTAACAAAATAAATAAAAGTATAATATGATAAGATATGATATGTAATTGTCAAAGTCAATATTTAGCCTGCATATGTATGGTTGATGTATGTATGGTATAGTGGTCCCCATTTCTGTTTGAGTTTGACGCAACTGATCTATAATGCTTCCATAAGAGCAGCAGGGTCGTCCTGCAGAAAACAGAAACACCTCTGTCTCAAGGCACTGTCCCCCATGTCCTAGTGGGGGGGTCTGGCCACACTCAGCTGCTGGCAGGAAGTTAGAATCAGGATCACAGAACCATCAAATGTTAGAGCAGGAAGGTCCTGTACTGAGGTAGAAACTGAAGCCAAGAGAGGGGAAGGGACTGGTCCCAAAACCATGCTAATTATTGGCAGACCTAGGACTATAATCCATGTCTCCTGTCTCCCATAAGAGGGATATTTGCACTACAATATACTGCCTAGTTATCATCTAACTTGAGCTGCTCATTTTATAGAGAGGGAAACCAAGGCCTGACAGGAAGATGCCCAACACTAGTGAAGTGTCCTCAAAGATCTGTTATCGGTGTTACGCTGTTCAATACTTTTTCTTAATGATTTGGATAAAGACATAGTTGGCACACATCATGTTTTCAGATGACTAAGAGATAAATGGATGGGGTGGCTAACATGTTGAAGGACAGAATCTGGATCAAAATCATCCCAACAAGATGGTCCAAATCCAATAAAATAAAATTTAATCTGAATAAAATTGAAAAGTATTATAATGAGATTTTTTTAAAAAAAACTTTAGGCAATTGGGGTTAAGTGACTTGCCCAGGGTCACACAGCTAGTAAGTGTCAAATGTTTGGTCCAAGGCTGGATTTGAACTCAGGTCCTCCTGACTTCAGGGCCAGTGCTCTATCCACTGCACCACCTAGCTGCCCCAATGAGATTTTTTAAAAAACAAGGATTGGGTAAGATATGGCTGAACAACGGCTCCTATAAAAATGGGGATTTTATTCAACTAGAAACTCAATGGCATATTGTGAAGGATAAAATAAAGCAAAAAAAAAAAAAACCTAGCTCAATATTTAGCTGCCTTAATAGAAACACAATGTCCAGAATTTGTTGTTGTTTTTCAGTCATTCAGTTGTATCCAATTCTTCATGAGCCCATGGACATAGATATTGGAGTGGCTTGCCATTTCCTTCTCCAATGTGTCCCTATTTTACAGATGAGAAACTGAGGCAAAGACAGGTTAAGTCACTTGCCCAGGACTACACAGCTAGTAAGTGTTTGAGCCTGGGTTTGAATTTAGATCTTCCTGACTCCAGGTCCAGTGCTCTATCCACTGTACCACCCAGCTGTCCTGTGTCCAGAATGGGGGAAGAAATAGTCCCACTGTGACCTGCCCTGGCTCGGCCACATCTGGAGCACCAATGTTTAGATTTGGATACCACATTTTAAGAAGCATATCGATAGGTTTATTCATAAGATGGAGAACATTTGGAGGAAGGTAACCAAGATTGTATGGCCTCAAAGCTATGCCATTCAAAGAACTGGGGATCACTAGCCTAGAGAAGAGAAGGCATTAAGAATCTACTGCCCTTTACGTTCCAAGGGGGTTAATGGAGGCAGAAACAGTTCAAGGGGTGCTCTGACAGTCATGTGAACAAACATACCTCTCCATAGATTTTGTGAAGGATGGTCACACAAGCTGTGATAACAGTTTCTCAGCTGACGAGAGTTTTGGTGATTTGAGGGAACAGGTTGGTTGGCACGGGCTGGGTTTAGAATTCACAAATATCCATGAAGCTTTTGTGTGTGATGAAATTACATTCATGCTTATCGTCGACTTCAGCCTTGCATTGTCAGCGGGCACTGAACTCCAATAGTGTGAAAGCCAGGCTTCACCCTTCATCCACCCTGCTCTGGAATGATGGGAATTTGCTTCTGCCTTTGACACTACCTCCAGTCTCTAGCTAATCAGATGGCTCACCCACTGCCTGGTACTGGCCCATATTTTCCATACACCAGACCTCTGTCTGTGTGCTGAAGTTCTTCTGTTACCCTTCCCTCCGTTCTCCCCAAAGAAGTGTGGGATCAAGTCACACTATGAATCTTTGGTTTGACCCCTATCAATCCAGAGTCCTTTCCTGACCCCAGGCTAGGTCCTACAAAGGGACCACATGGTAGCCGTGGTCTTGTGTGTTCTACCTGCCAGTTCAGCAGAGCCAAGCAGCTCTGAAGAGCAGCCCGACAGAGCTGGAATGTCACCTTGTCATAAAAACCAGGTCGCATTAAGATGGAGAAAGCAAGGGCATGGTGTCCATTGTGCAGGAAAAGACTGTAAGAATAGCAAGCTTCTTCTGAGTGGGAGTGAGTAATGGGCTTAGGGCCCCTCCATAGTTCTCCTGCCAGGCCAAGGACCTTTATGGGTTTATTGCCCAATTAAGTTACTCTCTGACCAATGGCCTCAGAAATTCTACTCTGAGCCTACCTAGGCAACCATTTATATACCACACAACAGAAGAGATAGACCACCGGGCAGCCTCCTCCCTGGCAGGTCACCTTGCTCATAAGGGGCTCCTGGAGACCTTTTCTACTGTCTTATTTTTTCATTTGGGCCTATGTCAAAAGTCATCAGACCCTGGAAGTCAAAGGTCATGGTATCCTAGCAGTTAGAAGTTAGTTAACACTCCTAATGCCCTATTCCACAAAAGGGACAATACTGTGCTGAATTGTCTTTCTCCAAAAAGAGAATAGAGTCACAGTGAAACTGATAGTAATGTGAAAAAGTTTTACTTGTGGGTAAAATGCCCAAGGGAAATGCAGTGATCCTCCTGGTCCCTCATAAGGAGGTCAAAGGGTAACCACTACAGCTCATTTTAGAAGAATCTCCTTGGGACCAATACCTCCTTAAGTAGGTGAGATAGATAAACTGAAATCTCTGTCTCTATGGTTACCAGAAATTTACAGAAACTTCTCTCATTCTATTTCCAGCAATTCTCCTCTTTCACCAAAGGTGAGGGTACTGAGCCTTCTTTAAAATCAGTATTTCTAGGGAAAAGGCAGCACCTTGGAGAACCACCTCTCTGACCTCCTACAAGTTCCGGAGAGGAATATGCTTCCTGTTCAAGCTCAGATGTGAAGGATTAATAATGAATGTGGAAAGGGAGTGGAAAGCTAGAGAAGAAAGGCTGACTTAGTCTCCCAGTTAAATGTTTAAAGCCCTGAACCCAAATGAGACAGGTATCAAAATGGTTAGTGCTGGACTTGGAGTCCAGAAGATCTGGAGTTTGAATTTTGTTTAAGAGACTTACTAGTTTTGTGGACTGGGCAAGTCACTTAAATTCTCTGTACCTTAGGTTTCTCATCTGTAAAATGAGAGTGAAGGACTCAGTGGCCCCTTGGGTCCCTTTCAGTTCTATATATATGATCAAATGAAAATAGGAAAACATCTCCAGGAGCTGGTGGGAAGTAGACAGGTGACACAGTTAACATTTTATGAAGATTTTTCTTAAGGCTTTTTTCAACTTGTTTATCATTTTATTATTTATCATTATAGCATGTCAAACTATTTAAGATATTTGGGATTACAAGGCATTCCCTATAGAGGCTGATTCCTAGGAACATTGGGATTGCTTCCACTCTTAGGCATGTCAGCTGAATATTACATGGTCTCCTCACTGGTGATTTTCTTACAAAAAGGAATTAAAAGCACAGATTTTGATTAGACTAATTTCAACACATGACATCAAAGACAAATCAGAATAAGGTTCAAAATAAAAATAACGCAACACTTAGGTACAAGTATTCTTGTCACTAACCTTTACTATTGTTAAACAATGCTTAAAGTTTCTCTCTCTCTCTCTCTCTCTCTCTCTCTCTCTCTCTCTCTCTCTCTCTCCCTCCTGCTTCCTGCCTCCCTCTCTTCAATATGTAACAGC